GTTCGTGTACCCGACATAGACACCCGTGATGCCCGCCCTGCCAAAGTTGCGCACGCCTTCAATCATCTCGTTGACAATCTCGCTCGTGTCCGTCTCCGCGCCAAGCGCGATCTCGACCGTGTGCAGCCAGCCCTTGGGGTACTCCCCCGCCGCACACTCGAGCGCGGCGTCCGGCCCGCGACCGCCGCAAAGTTCCTTCAGTCGCGAGACGACCGTCTCCTTGTTCGTCACGCCGTGCGAGAGCGTCTTGTAGTCGATGAGCGCGAGCTTGTCCGCGTGCGCGGCGGGCCACTTGGACTTGATGTAGGAGAGCCGCGGCTCGGTGTCGACGAAGATAACCTTGGAGGCGCCTTCGTCGAGGGCGAAGGCGCCTGCCATTTGGCCGATGGGGCCCGCGCCCCAGATGGCGACTTGGTCATTTGGGTAGACGGCCGTGTCTTTGACGCAGTTGTAGGACGTGGCGAGGACGTCGGAGAGGTAGAGGGCTTTTTCGTCGGGGACATCGTCCGGGATGGCGAGGAGGTTGACATCGCCGAGCGGCACGCGGACGTACTCTGCCTGGCCGCCGGCGAAGCCACCCGTGAAGTGGGAATAGCCGAACATGCCGGCTGTTTGGGAGCCGTACATGGACTTCTCCATTGTGTTGGAGTTTGTCCGCTCGCACTGGGAGGAGAGCTTTTGCTTGCAGTAGAAGCACTAGACTGTTGTGAGCCTCTGGTTACCACCATGACTGGACGGAGAAACTTACACTTCCGCACGCGATTTGGAATGAGGCGACATAGCGCTTGCCGACCTGTGCTTTGGTGACGGCGGATCCGACTTGGTCGACGACACCGCAGAACTCGTGGCCGAGGATATCGCCCTTGTTCATCTGGACGACGGAGCCGTGGAGGAGATGGAGGTCGCTGCCGCAGAGCGTGCTGCCGGTGACCTTTAGGATGACATCGGTGGCCTCGAGAACCTTTGGCTTTGGAACGGTGACTGGGCGGCAAGATTAGGATGTATCGTTGCATGGGATTGCTCTTCATCACTCACCAACTTCGACCTTGTTCTTGCCTTGCCAGACGAGTGCCTTCATGAGCTCGCCGTCGTCTCCTTTGCTTCCGCTGTATTCGGTCACATCCTGGGCGGTGATGGCGTCGCCTTGGTGGCCAATTGCCTTTTCGGCTGCGTATGCTGCTTGTGAAGCCATTGATGTGTGATTACTGATATGGATTATTGTGTATGGAAAAGAGTGCCAAGACGAATCTACGAGATTTATCAAGTGTCACTTGTCAAGTCATTGGGATCATTGGCCCTTATAGCAATCGCAAAGAGAACACAATCATCACATAACTAAGCAGTCAATGGTTCGTTCAGGTCCGGACGCCTCAAACGAACCAGTCGAGTGAGCGCGATGCGACGCTGGGCGGGCAAAAGATTGAGGTTCATGACGGTGCGGCGGCGTCATTTTCGACGGAGACGCGACGTCATGGATCCCAACTCCTCCAAAGAGACACGGCATGGAGCAGCGGAGCTTTACTTCCTGGAGCCAATGAGAGAGGCGTTTCGGCTCGAAGCGGATGTGCATACACACATGGTACGCCTTTCCGGACCGTTTGAGTGGGTTAATAGGAAGATGAAATAAGAAGCAGGCAAGGGTGACACGAGGCTGAAAAAAGACATGCTTATCCGAAAGAGAATGACAGTGGAGGGTCGGAAACGGGACGGCATTTGCAAGATTTGCGATTGCTCGGGGAAAATTCGATGTTGCCCCTCTTCGTTGCATCCCTGTTCACGACTGGAGGCTCGCCGTGTTCCATGGTTCGTCAGCTTCGCGTCCGGACTTATGAAGAAAGAGTGGGAAGTTTGGTACTGGACGTCGGTTAGGAGAATGGACGACGTCAGGTGAGGTTGTGAAAGTACTTGTCAGGCTTGAGTAAGCTCGGCAGTGAGTCGTGAGAAGGTCTGGGTTCCTGTTTGGGTGGATATAGGCGGGGTCGGACTTTGGCGTGATGTAAGTCTTTCAAGTGAGGGCCAAGCTCATCTCGTTTAGAGAGCATTTCGCGTGTTCATCGCATGTGTGGAGGACGGTTGAAGGGTTGGAGATCAGATGAGATGGATTTCACTTTGCATGGGATGAAGTGAATGGGAATAAGAGTGTCTTTATTTCGAACTCAAGGTCATCAAGGTTCTCTCTTGCAGTAACTCAAGAATGAGAGGAAACACCGGCCTTGACTCTTGAGCCTAACGTGGCGCGTATGAGAGGATCTAGGTATGAGACTGGGGTGGGGTGAATGTTGAACTAAGACAGACGTCACCAGTCGGAGATCGGCTAGCTCATCTCATCGTGATGTGACGTGAAGACCCAGATGGCGCCAGCTGGAGTCAAGATTGCATGTGGTAAGCAAGAAAGCAATCAGACAAGGGTCATTATTACCTTAGGTAAGATGATTTGACACGTGAGTTGAGTAGCAGAAATAAAGACGCAACGGCGGCGGCACAAGGATTGAGGTCCGCAAAGCGCTCCCGTCGAGCCGGGAATGAGGGGAAAGTGGAGTCGAGTTGGGGCCTTTAACTCAATTAACTTGGGGTAAAGGTGCGGATGGAGGACCAGACGGAGGAACTCGTTGCTCGGCCGCATTGAATCCCACATTGGCATCAGGAACCCGCGACTCAATATGGCAATCCGGAGCATGCTGCGTCCGCAAAGGACAGCAACGTTGTTGGAGTTGCCAATCTGGCCACATGGAAGTCTGTTTATATGAGGAGGGCCGGGCAATATCAATTGTGAGATGAGTGAAGAAAGGACCGTCTGCATGTCGTTCAAGTTCCTGTGTTAGTCTCTCATCGCATTCTCAATCACTCGTCACGATACAGTCTCACGAGAAAGCACTTCACCACACAAGTTAGTAACACAACCACCACAATGAAGTCCACATCCCTCCCCCTCGCCGCCACGCTCCTCGCGACCGCCGCCTCGGCCTTCCAAGTCGGCAAGCCGCCCATGCCCCAAGCAAAAACCACAATGGCAGACAACTTCCCCTGGCGCGACCCCTTCACCTCGGCAACAGCAGATGCCTACACCCCGACCTGCTCCTCGTCAAAGACCTTTGCCGCGACGCAGTACACCCTCCATGACCTCTTTGACAAACCGCCGACGGGCCTCTTCCCCTGGGGCGACGGTCTCAAGACCTTCTTTTCGGGCCGCGAGTACCCCGGCGGCTGGGCCGGTCTCGACCGCCACATGTACGATCGCAACGTGCTCATGATGGAATACGCTGACGTCCCGTTGCGCGTGCGCGAGTGGATTGAGGAGGAGGAGCGGGCCGACGGCGCGGGCAAGGGGTTGTTTGCTGTGTTTGACAAGCCTGCTGGGGAAGAGGACAAGGTTACCGAGAGGGTTGTTGTTCCTGGTGAGGCTGAGGAGGTTGATCGTGGGCTTGATGAGGGGAGGGTTGCGATTTTTGCGCCGGGGGCGTTGTACCCTGTTCTTCCTCTGTTTGTTGCTGACGGTAGTGACTGTGAAGGTGAGTTTGGCATTCATTCCCATTTCCTTTCCAATTCTTCGAGCGCATTTGTAAGAGCAACTGGCTAACATCATTGCAGCGACACTTGCCGACTTGAGTGGTTACCAGGCCGTGGCCAAAGATGCCGCCGTCGTGGCGTGGCCCGTCAGCCACACCCGTCCCGATACTGCTAATGGCAAGAGGGACATTGAGTTTACTGTTAAGGCTCAGGTTCTCAAGATCACGGAGAGTGTGTCAGAGGCCGAGGCTGATGCTGGTACTGAGGAGTCCAAGGTGGCTGATGAGAAGACGCAGCCATCTAAAGCGGCCAAAGATGAGTTGTAAAAAGGATGTTCCTGAGGCGCAAGTGAAGCTGCGAATGCATGTACGGATAGATTCTTGCCGCAGTAGTTTGCATTGATTAGTGTTTCTTGATTACATCTTGCTTTTGAGTTTGACCAAGTGCTGATTGTTAGACTGTCGCTGTTCGTAAAGACATGGCCTAGCGGCTGCGCATTGCCTCATGTGTTGTGATTGTCAATCAATAACAAGAGCAAGAGACTCACTACTTTTTGTTAAGCTTGATCCTTCAAGCTGACAAGCTCCACAATCTAGACGAAGCTAGTCCGTGTGTGACGGTCTGCATCAGCGATCTGCGCTGAGATGGGGAAGGGAGGGCATTATTAATCCAGATCCTTGGCGTTTTTTCCGTGGAACTCCACGGCGTGCCGTGGCCGCCACGGTGGCTGGAGAGCTCCACGGAATTCCGCGGATCTCACACCGAGACTGACCGAAGCTCACCGCATGTTAGGCTACTTACACGCTTCTCGATAGTCTCGGTCTCGTGGTGCAACCGCGCGGCAACAAGTAATGCTCTGCCTAGTTGATTTTTTAGTTCAAAGTATTTTGGCTTTCCGAATCATTGATGAATTTGTAGGGTCGAGCCTAGACTTGGACATGAGCATTGGAATAAGGAACGTGAGTGAGAATCCAGAGCGTTTGAATAGAGCGTTGTTGTTGGAGTCCGAAGGAGACGAGCAGGTCTTCTCTACATTTTCGAAAATGAAGATTTTAAAGACGAATTCAATTTCACTTTGTATGAAACAGTCGATAGCGAAGTTTGTATATCGTTCCACGTCGTTGAAGTCCCCCGGCGTCTACCACAACATCTGCCGGGGAACCCGGTGCCCCACGGACGTCTCCTCCGTGGAGTGCCCCGTACGCTAGCTGGCCCGGTCAACCACCGCCACGGCAGCAACCGCGATACTACCACATTGCGCCATCGACTCTGCACTCGACTCCGCGGGCCTCATATCGAGACCATAGCGCCATCCGGGCTTGGCGCCGTGGAAGCTCGAGATGTCTTTATAAGTGAGCTCCTCAGGCGCATTTAATTTCCAAACATTATCAGCATCAGCATCATCCTTTCCATAACTATAGCATCTCTACAACTTTCCCCCATTCTTCACCAAATCTTTATAACCTCGAGTCGACTCTACCACCACCGCAAACATGCCCGCCCGCTACGAAAGCCCCCCCGCCAGCCCGGAACCCCTGGCCCGGCCCCTGACCTTCCCCTTCTCCGGCAAGACGGCCAAGAACCGCCTCCTCAAGAGCGCCATGGCCGAGTCTCTCGCGACCTGGAGCGCCACAGAGCCCTCAAAGAGAGGTATCCCCACGCCAGAAGTTGTCGAAGTCTACCGCCGGTATATCCTCTCCTCTCCCTACCTTCACAGCTAGAGCACCTTGATTCTAACCTAATACTCCCAGATGGGGTCAAGGACCAGACAACTTTGGCATCATCTCCACAGGCAACATCACAATCGAATTCGAGGACGTGAGCACCCTCGGCGATATGATCATCACCCCCGAATGCGCTCCCGAAGAAGGCGACGCCCGCTTTGAGGGCTTCAAGGCCATCGCCGCCGCAGGCAAGGCCGACGGCAGCCTCATGGTCGGACAGGTCAACCACCCCGGGCGCCAGGTGCAGAAGAAGATTCAGCCGAACCCCGTCTCCGCGTCCGCCGTTCACTTGGGTTCGTTGTCTCTACCCTTCACTCGATCATTCAACTTTCGATACTGACAGCACGAACAGTACCAAAGATGGGCATGGAATTTGCCACGCCCCGCGAAGCCACCAAACAAGACATTGTCCGCTTCATTGACGGCTTCGCCCACGCGGCAGCCTACCTCGAGAAAGCAGGCTTCGACGGCGTCCAGCTGCACGCCGCGCACGGGTACCTCCTCGCGCAATTCCTCTCGCGCACGACGAACCGCCGCACCGACGAGTACGGCCCGCAGACGCTCGAGAACCGCACCCGGTTGATTGCGGATATCGGGAGGGCCGTGAGACAGCGGACGTCGCCGGGGTTCATCCTCGCTGCCAAAATCAACAGCGTCGAGTTCCAGGAGGGCGGGGTGACGACTGACGAGGCGAGGGAGATGAGTTCCCTGCTCTCCGGGCTTGGATTTGACTTTTTGGAGATTTCGGGGGGAACGTATGAGGCTATGGGTATGAGCTGGGAGAAGGAGAGCACACGCAAGCGGGAGGGCTTCTTCCTCGAGTTTGCGGATACGGTTGTCAAGGGACTCGGCGAGGACGCGGCGGCGCGCAAGACCAAGGCGTACATTGTCGGCGGGATGAGGACGGTCGGCGCGATGGTGAAGGCGCTCGAGGTCGTTGACGGGGTCGGGCTGGGACGTCCCGGCGCGCAGGAGTTCCGATTGGGATCGGAGTTGATATCGGGGAGGGTGCAGGGCGCCGTGCAGCCTGTTGAGATGATTGAGAAGGATATCGGGATGGGGTTGACGACGGCGGCGGCGCAGATTCATCAGGTTGGGCGGGGTGAGGAGCCGTTTGACGCGAGTGATGAGGGCGCGGTGGGGAGGTTTGCGCAGGACATGCAGGCTTGGTATGGGGATTTGATTGCTGACGGGGATAAGTTGGAGCATTTTGGCGCTGTCAAATATTCTGGCGAGACTGTGCCCTATGGGGAGACCTCCAAGGCGTAGTTTTGGTTGCTTGACTGCAGATATTGGCCATGCATTGCCCTGGTGTTGCTAGATTTGATCTTACTTTTAGATTGGAGACTATAGTTTTATTTGGACTTGTATTAATTGATTTAGCTGTTGGAAATTTAGAATTATACACCAAATAATTTTGGTTGAAACTTGTGACTTGATCTCCATGTTCACCGAGTGTCGTGTAAGTGCTCTGGTGTGGTCGCCTCGGTGAGACTCGGTGAGTTCCTTCAATACGTACTGAAGTTTCGGTGAGTACCATAGCCAACTCAGACGATCCTGGCGTAGTAGTCAAACGCTGAGAAGAGAAAGCACGCCCGCAGTAGGAGACAACAAGAGCCAAAGATCCAAAACTGATCGACATCTGATAAATTCGAGTCCGAGAAGAATTCGAGGGCCCAATGAAACGACTAAAAGAATGCGAGCTGATTGTGGCTTGACGGGAACGACTAGGCGCATCCGTCAGCTCTGGATTTGTAATCTTGGCCCAGCGACACAATCCTTGCGCTACTGCTGCGCACCACCAAAACAGACGCAGACCCCTGCCTCGCTCTCTTAATTGGGACTTTGGACCACGACTCATGGTCTCGAATGGTTGAAATATCCAACTCGTCCACCTCGAATTGTTCATTCCCACTTTGTTTTGGCGGAGTTGAATACGGTAAAATCTAGAGAAACACCTTCACCATGGAGACTTCATCACAGCGCCGCAAGGGTAAAAATATGCCACTCGACCATCCTCAACAAACCGTGACTAACACGCTCACAGCATGCGACTTGTGCTTCCTCAAAAAGATCAAGTGCGACATGCTCAAGCCGGCCTGCTCAAACTGTCTGTTGTATAAGTCCGAGTGCCGCACCACCACAGTTCGCCGCAGAGTAATACCGACGAAAGAGCGCCAGCAACGGCCAAAAGAAACAACCGTAGGAGAGTATGTTGGTTTATAGTTCTCCCAGTAACAGGACTTTGACTGACGATCCTCTTCATAGCCCAAAAAGAGTGGTAGAGTTGGAGAGTCGGTTGGCAAAGATAGAAGAACAGCTGCAGCGCGCACTGGATGCAAACATTCGCCTTTCCAGCCAAGTTCCGGCCTCAGCACCGGTACCAGCACCCGCACCCGCACCAGTCCAGTCCGCACCGATTACGGACACCATCGAGTTGCCCCTGGACAGTGCCGGTGACTCGACCGACAGCACCGAGTTCATCAATGCCTTTTCGTGCAGCGAGAGTCCAAGCGAGTGGGTGGTCGAGCCGGAGAAGCCAAAGTTGCCGCCGCTGGAGGAAGTCACGCCCGTCATAGACGAGTTCTTCAACCGATACAACTCCATCATGCCGCTCTTTGACCAGCCGACCTTTATGCGCATGCTCTCCGACTGGTATTCGCCGTCCTCGTCTCACTCCTCGGCCGCATGGGCAGCCATCAACATCGCCCTGGCGTTGGGGTATCGGTGCACATTGAAGCAGTCGGGCAACCTGGATGCCCTGGTAGACGATCAGAAGGTGCTGCACCACATGCGCAATGTGCAGTCTGTCGTGTCGGACTTGGTAACGCGTGAGGAGGACCTGCTAGGCATTCAAGTCCTCGTGGGCATGGTCGTTCTCTTCCAGGGTACGAAAGATCCCAAGCCGGCCTCGGTCCTCATCGGGACGGCTATCCGGCTGGCGCACCGGCTGCATCTACACGACAAGGAGTCCCTCCAGTACTTTTCGCCCGCGGTCGCCCGGCAGAGGTCGCGGGTCTTTTGGCTCGCCTACTGCATGGACAAGGACATCAGTCTGCGGTCAAAGACGCCTTCGTTCCAGCTGGACGCGGATATCGACTTGCCCCTGCCGGAGCTGGACCCGGACGACGGGGCGGGCGTCATGGCTGCGTCCAACGGCAGCAAGTTCAACTTCTTCCGGGCTCGGGTCGAGCTCAGCCACATCGCGGGGAAAGTGTACGATCTCCTCTACAGCACGAGGTCGCGCAAGGTGGCGAAGTCGGAAGCGCAGCTGCGGGTGACGCGGCTGGAAGAGATGCTCGAGACGTGGCGCCGCAACGTGCCGGCCGAGTTCCAACTCACATCGCTGCTGGAATACGCCGAGCCGCTTCCCACGGTGCACCTTTCGCTTCTTTACCACAACTATTTTGTCATCACCGTCATGGTCCACGGTATTTACTCGCACGACGCGGATTGGGTGCAGAGAATCAGTTCGTACGGCCGAGCGACGATACAAGACCTGGATGGTATAGGGCAAGGAAACAGCAGGCAGAACTCGCCGTTGCCAACGGGGTGGGCAAAGTGCGTAGAGCTCAGCCGGGACTGCATGAATCTGTTTGTGGAATCGCCAAAGACGGACTGCAGCATCTGGTCCAACGCGTGCGCGCACTTTTCGGGGCTCATCATTATACTATCCAACATGTTTGTTTTCCCAGAAAACCCGAATATACCGGCGGACAAGCAGCTTGCGGAACACGCGATGCAGCTCTTTGATATGATGCTGCGTCTCTCAGCAAACGAAGACTTTCGCAGGTTGTACGAGGTAGTCAAAGAGCTACACCGGCGGGCGATGGCAACGGTGGCCAAGGTCGCACGGAAGAGAGAAGAGCAAGCGGCTGCAGCTGCGGTGGTGGAGGCAATGGACAGTACGCTGCCGTTTGGGATGCAGTTTGAAGAGGATGTGAGTTTCTTTGAGGGCGCAGGCATGATGGACTTTACAGGGGCTTTTGCTGGAGGTATTATGGAGGAGTCACCAGTGACTGCGGATTCTGAGGCGGAAGACACGTTGGAGGCCGGGGGTTTCCAAGGAGATTTAGGTCGTGCCGCCGCGACGGTTGGGCATAGCCATTATTGAGCTGCGATGATACTTTACTGGCGTTGGGGGGTTGATGAGGAGTTGGGCGTCCACCATATCTAGACTATATCTAGTAGGGTGTTTTTGTTATAGCTGTCTGACGGCTACTGGATGAAGGGCATATGAATTACAATAGAGAAGATGAGATATCATGTTATGATGGTCTGTATTCTTGACTTGTTGACGATCAGTTCGGTAGAAATCATTGTTGTTGAGCTCCATTGAGGACGAGAGCTTGTGCAATTGGTGTCTTCGGACGGTGGACCGAATGGTGGAGCTTTTTAGTGGGACAATTATGGAACCCGTGTGTTAGGTTCGATGCTAGTCCTAATTAAGACAGATATGATCCAAGCTCTCAGCTTCTGGCCAGTGAGAACAGAGGAATTTGCAAGCTGGCAGGGATGGCGGGATGAGGTGGGGCCGCAGTGGGCAATGACGACCAGGAGTGAGCTCAAGCACCTGCCACAGCAGATGAATTGCACTGGAAGGAAGCACAGAAGGAAGTAATGGCACAAGCAACAGCATCGTCTTGGGGTAGGTGGTTGCCGCCGCTAATCCCGGGAGATCCTTCCCTGTGGAGGAAACGAGCTCACTGTCATGGCGTCATCATTGAATCGTCCAATTTTGGGGAGGAAGTTGCGTCCATCTCTGTGTTCATACTCCGTACTTCCATGCACGTCTACCTACAGGGTAATAAGGTACCTACCTCACATTCTCGCGTCTCTCTGACCATCCCGTGTTTACCTATCTGCAGCCATTGAGAGCTTCCCTCAAAGCACAGCGCATGAATGATGATGCTCTGAACCCTCACCACTCCCTCGCCCGACATTACAAACACAAAATTACTGCCCGCCGCACCGCCTTCTTGAACCCCTCCACCAAACATAGCCCCGGTCAGAAACGAGTCAACCTTACGGTGTATTGTCACCAATCTGAAGACGCGAATCCCCATCAACTTTCCCCATCTCTCAGCAGACCGCCTACCATCACGTCTTGCCTCATCCCACCTTACCCCAGTTACAGCATACCTACCGCAACGTCTCTGTCTACTTGTCACCCCCGGAAGCTTTTACCTTCCACTAGACATCTACCTAGTATTCCGCTGTTAGGATAGCTACCACACTACATCTGGGAATACCTAGGCAGTCTTGGCCTCGTGTGCTTTGTTATCTGACCCCCTCCCTCCGCCCCGGTGCTTTACATCAGCAGCTGTCAGTCGGAGTCGGAGTACCCCTCGACGGTGACCGTAACATCTTCCCCTCTCTTTCGCCTACCCTTCTACTTCTTGCCCCCCCCTCCCCCTCCATCCTTCATGCAAACCACCAAATTCCTCCTCCCTCTCCGCCACCACGTAAGAGTATCCTCTCTACTCCGACAAACGACACAAAAGAGTCCATTTTCGCATAGCGCACGAGCCATGGCCGACTACAAGCTCAAGTCCGTCACCTCGCTATCTCTCAAGCCGGGGGACAAGCAGGAGGTTGAAGTTGAGGGAATCGAGGGCGCAAAGGTCCTCCTCCTCAACGCCGGCGGCAGTATCCAGGCCGTTGGTCCCAAATGCACCCACTTTGGTGCACCACTCGTAAAGGGAGTCTTGACCACCTCTGGTCGCTTGACATGTCCTTGGCACGGAGGTACCTACCCTCTCCCATGTTGGCTCCATAGCACTTTACTGACACACACACAGCCTGCTTCAATGCCAAAACTGGTGACGTCGAAGACGCCCCTGCGCTCGACGCCCTTCCCGTCTTCAAGGTCACCGAGCGCGACGGCGCAGTTTACATTTCGGGCGAAGAAGCCGCCATCAAGGGCGGTCGCCGCAAGCCCAACTTCAAGTGCAATGCCGCTGGCGGTGCCGACCAGGAAAAGGTGGTCATTGTTGGTGGAGGATCCGGTGCTCTCGGAGCTGTTGAGGGTCTGCGCAACGGCGGCTACGACGGTCCCTTGACCATCATCTCCTCCGAAGGCTACTTCCCCATCGACCGCACAAAGCTTTCCAAGGCTCTTTTGACCGACGTCAACGCCCTGCAATGGCGCGACGAGGCCTGGTATAAGAGTGGCTCTGTCGACTGGGTCGCCGACGAGGTCACCGACGTTGACTTCTCTGACCGTAAGGTTACCACTAAGAAGGGCGACAACGTCCCCTATACCAAGCTCATCTTGGCCACTGGCGGTACGCCCAGAAACTTGCCCCTCCAGGGTTTCAAGGTGTTGGGCAACATCTTCACCCTCAGAACCGCCCACGACACGCAACAGATTGTCAAGGCCATTGGTGACAAGGGCAAGAAGATCGTCATTGTCGGATCCTCCTTCATCGGTATGGAGGTTGCCAACGCCACCGCCAAGGAAAACACAGTTACCGTCATCGGTATGGAAAAGGTCCCTCTGGAGAGGGTTCTTGGGGAGAAAGTTGGCGCTGGCATCCAGAAGAGCCTGGAAAAGAATGGCGTCAAGTTCCACATGAACGCTGGCGTCGACAAGGCAGAGCCATCAGCCACGGACGCTGCCAATGTCGGCGCGGTATACCTCAAAGATGGCACCAAACTCGAGGCTGATCTGGTCATCCTCGGTGTTGGTGTTGCTCCCGCTACTGAATTCCTGAGGGAGAACAAGGTCATCAGATTGGAGGACGATGGCTCGATCAAGACCAACGAGAACTTTGAGATTGTTGGCCTCAAGGATGTGTACGCCATTGGTGATATTGCAACATACCCCTACCACGGGCCTGGGGGTGACGGTCGGTACACTCGCATTGAGCACTGGAATGTGGCCCAGAACGCTGGCCGCTCCGTTGCAAACAACATCATCAACTCGGCCGTCAAGACGCCGCACTTCATCCCCGTCTTCTGGTCCGCATTGGGCTCACAGCTGAGATACTGCGGTAACACCGTCGGCGGATGGGACGACGTCGTGATTCAAGGCAATGTGGAAGAGTCGGCATTTGTCGCGTACTACACAAATGGCGAGACGGTCGTCGCCATGGCCTCCATGGGCAAGGACCCCGCCATGGTCCAGTCGGCCGAGTTGATGTCGCTCGGCAAGATGCCTTCGAAATCGGAGTTGGCCAAAGGTCTCGACATTACCACGATCGGTCCGTTGGAGGCATGATTTTGTAAACGAGACTTTTGTGCATATTTGGGTGTACACGGGAGGGATATAGGACGTAATCTATGGCGTAATTAGGTAGGCTTCAAGGCATGCAATGAGCAAACAATTCAATGATTTCGAACCAATGAATTCAATGAACAAGGGGTGCCTGTGATGTTTCCACAGCAAAGATGGATGCCGAGACCGCGGAATGTGAAAACCCGTCGAGTAAGCCAGCGGGACATTTACTAGTGGATTTGTGTGGACGGTGAAAACTAGTGATGGTCACTCGGGACCGAGCGTTGCTTTCGTACCCGAGATGACTGTGCGGGGCGGTGGCTGCGTTTCCGGCCACGCCAGGGCCACCGGAGCCGGGCAAGTGCGGAGCTTGCAAACCACCGCCGTCGACGCCGTCACAATGGCGCCGGATATGAATCGCAAATGTATAAAGACCTCATCATGCATCTCGTACCAAAGTTTGGATGGACGTACGAACCACACTACGCTTTTTATCCAATCTTACCTTTAGTCTCGAGACTTTACTTTTTTTTTGTTATTAACTACTCTGTTGACTTACACTCTTCGGCACATCAACCATACCAACCGCTCAACTACCAACACCAAAACCACACACAATGACGACGCAAAACCAAGCACCCGTGATAATCATAGGCGGCAGCCTAGCAGGCCTCGCGAGCGCGCTCTTCCTCTCCGCCCGCGACGTCCCCGTCATCCTATTCGAGCGCCACACCTCGAGCTCTCCGCACCCGCGCGCCATTGGATACACCTCGCGCACGCTGGAACTCTTGCAGACTGTCGGCATCTCCCCCGATCAGCTGAGAGTCGGGTCCGGTCCGCCGGGGGGTAAGCCTCGTCGGGTGAAAGTCAAGAGTCTGGCGGGGGAGTGGGCTGATGAGCAGCTCTGGAACAATAATAACGCCAACAAGGAGAATGGTGCTGGTCCGAAGGGCGAAACCAAAAAGCCTGGATCTGGTCCCGGTGGGCCCCCACCACAGCAGAAAGGAGGCAAAGTCTACGCTCCCATCATGGGCACGGCGATCGCCCAAGACAGACTGGAACCCATCCTCCGCAAACGCGCCGTCGAGCTAGGCGCAGATCTCAGGCTCGGGTGGAAGATGACATCCTGGAGCCAGTCTGCAGACGGCGTACGCATCACGGCCGTCAACAGAGAATCCGGTGAGGAAGTGACTGTTGACGGGTCGTACATCGTCGCCTGTGACGGCGCGCGGAGCGTCTTCCGCGAGGGGCTGGGCATCGGGACAACGGGCGTGGGACACTTACGGAGCCTGTGCAGCGTCATGTTCCGGTGCGCGCCGATTGAGAGGTTTTTGGAGCGGGGGTTCGTGCAGTTTTCGATTGAGGGGCGCGAGGACGGGTTTGAGGCGTTTTTGGTGAGTTATCACGATGGGAGGTGGGCGTTGATGTGGAATGCCGCCGAGGAGACCGTCACCGACAACAAGGAGGACGACGACAGCAAGGACGGCAAGGACACGATGAACGTCAGCAACAGCAACAAAAACAACAACAACAACAATAGCAGCAAGATGGACGCCCGCGCGCAAAAAGACCTTATCCGCAAAGCCCTCGGTCTTGGCGAGGACGAGGTCCAGGACGGGGATATTGAGCTCGTGACGATTGGGTTCTGGGAGATGAGCGCGCGGATCGCGGAGAAGTTTGCAGAGGGACGGGTGTTTCTCGCGGGCGACGCGGCGCATACGTTGCCGCCTAACCGGGGCGGATACGGCGCCAACACGGGATTCGCGGATGCGCATAACTTGGCGTGGAAGATTGCCGCTGTTAGGAGCGGGGTGGCGGACGAGGGGGTTCTGGGGACGTATGATGAGGAGAGGAGGCCTGTTGCGCTTGTGAGGCATGATCAGCTCTTTGCGAGGGATGATTACAAAGCGTATATTCGGGGTGATGGAGACAAGGGGAAGAGGGCCGAGGTGATTGATGACGTTGCTATGGAGTTGGGACAGATTTATCGGTCTAGGGGGGTGGATCTGGGGACGGATGGGGAGGTGTTGCCTGATGCGTTGAGGCCTGATGAGTGGAAGGGTCAGCCTGGGACGAGGGCGCCTCATTTGGTTGTTAGGAAGAGGGATGGGAAGGATATTTCGAGTTTGGATTTGTTCGGAAGTGGGTGGGTTTTGCTCTCGAGAGATGGGAGGTGGGAAGCTGCTGCTGTTGGTGCTGGATGTGAGTTTGTTCATGTTGGAGAGGATGTTATGGAGGTTGATGAGAGGGAGGAGGAGGGCTTTGAGGAAACGTTTGGAGTTGGCAGGGAGGGAGCTGTGTTGGTGAGGCCTGATGGGTTCATTGCTTGGAGGGTCGGCGGAAGGGAGAATGATGGTGATGAAGTGTTTGCCGAGGCTTTCAAGCGGGTTTCTTTTGCGTTCTAGTCAACTGGTGAACTGGACTGTGGTTTTGGAAGGGAATTATTAATGATTGTATCTTTACTGTGTTTCAACTTGTGTGAAAGAAATCTAATAAACTCCTCACGAAGGAACGCTTTTGCAACGGCCTCTATTCTTACAACTTCTTGAGTACCGTGACAATGATACCGTGGACGTCACGCCTCTAAAAGGATATATATGGTGGCGTATCCCCAAGCCTGTCACCTTTTTTTAGGACAAACTTAACACGTACTACCTAAGAGTGAGATACAGATGAAATGTGACCCTTGAAGTCCGATCTTGAAGTCAAGAAAACCCCAAAGCGAGAAAGAAAAGCACCTGACTCCTTCTACTCAACTTCACTCCTTAAATGCCGGGATTAACACTGCATGATACGCAAGAGGCAAGAGCGCGCGCACATGGTAAGTTATCAGATCTCTTCACCAGGGATGCGCAGATCATCAAAGGAGTCCATACCTTTATATATGAGAAGCTCATCGGTGATGAGACATGACTGTCGACGTTGGATCTCGGCTTCTGCTGGGGCCTGACCGTGAATTCGCAGCTCAAAATGTCGTCTGAGGTGAGGTCGGTGACTGAGACAAGGCGGCAAGCACGGGATCAAGAGCCGAACGGTTTGAGAGCAGCAAATCCAAACCATGCCACAGTTTCCGTTATGGACTTCAGTAACAGAAACGTCAGATGGTTCTTTGCCAAAAAGAGCAGTCCGCCTTGATCTGTCCCAACTGGTCGGAAAACCAAATGCAGCTAGCACGATGCGGGGAGACTGAATGAGGGGACGCAGTTGCTCGGGTGCATCACGGGCAACGCCATGCCTCACCGGTTCGGCGGTTTGGGGTTAGCGAATAATACGTGTCCGGAGCTTACACACAGTCATATAAAAAGGTCAATATGCAGCTTGATGCTCCAAGTTGTACTCGAACAGGTACCTACCTTACCAGACCTGTATCCTCCAGCTTCACGCATGAATCTGTCACTACACCACCATCTATCGCTGTGATAACTGAATCTCCTCTCACCATGTCTCCCAAGATTCTACAAGTCGGAGTAATTGGCGGTGGCGACGTTGCGCAAATCGTCCACCTTCCAACCTTTATGCTCTTGTCCAGTCTCTTCAAGGTCGTCAGCATTTGCGACGTTTCACGCAAGACGGCTGATCACTGCCGTGCTAAATTCAGCATCCCCCACGCGACCACAAACCCAGACGACATCTTCAATGATCCAGCCATTGACGTCGTCGTCATCCTGACATCTGACGAATATCACGCCCCCTATACCATTGCTGCACTGAAGGCCGGGAAAAACGTCTTGCTAGAGAAACCCATGACACTGAGTCTGCAAGCCGCCGACGAGATAATCGATGCGGAGACCAAGGCCCCCAACAATGCCCGCGTCTTTGTGGGCTACATGCGACGTTACGCTCCGAGCCTCCAAGCCTTCAAACGCGAGATTGCCTCCATTGACAAGATCAAGTACGCTCGTGTTCGCGACATCATCGGCCCCAATGCCTATTTCATCGGGCAATCGGGAGCACATCCACAGAAGTACCACGATGACATACCGATCGAGGCGTCGGAGGACAGAAAGGCGCGACTGGCCGTCTTACTAGGTCAAGCCTGGGGACAAGAGCCAGAATCGCTCACAGCCGCGCAGATGGACTACTGCTGTCTCCTCGGCAGTCTCGGAAGTCACGGTCTCAGCCTCATGAGGAACGTACTAGGCGGTCTTCCAGAATCGGTTCTTGCTTCGACGGACAATGCGCGCTGGTACACGGCCATGTTTGAGTACCGAAACGGCACTGCCCCCGACGACCGGTTCACTTGTGTTTACGAGATGGGCATTGACTCGGTACTGAGATTCGACTCTCACGTTGCCGTCTACGGGGAGAACAAATCCGTCACGATTTGCTATGATACGCCGTTCGTCAAGGGCCTCGGCATCACGGTGGAGATTGACGAGCTGAACGAGCACGGGGAAAAGTCCCACAGGTCTCTCCAGACTTCGTACGAGGATGCCTACACTGCCGAGTTGAAAGAGTGGTATGAGACTGTGGTTCACGGCAAAGAGGTCAAGACGTCTGCCAAGGACGCTCGGGATGATTTGAGACTGTTCAAGATGATGATGGATAAATTCCCCGAGCACAAAAAGATCAAGGATGCATCCGACAGCACGCCCTTCGTACCGAGCGGCCCTTGAATACCACGCATACCATGTATCACTGTACTGCACATCATTACTAGTTTGAATCAAGTATTTTGCCTTGGCCTTGGAGCGCTGGAGACATCATGTACTTGGAAGCTCCGAAAGCAACCTGCGTGTTACTTTTCTCAGATATCTGAGTGAATGGATCTGCAGTATGCGTTGAACGGCTGTATCCCCCACGCATCCGAGATGGCGTAGATTGACATCGTTGTTGCGCCTTCGAAAACACTACGCTATTCAATATAGTATTGAAAAAGCTTTCGCATGCTCGCCATCTCTGAACCGTGACTGACGTTGTCTCTTCCGCCTGTTGGGGACAAACAGCTGCGCTTGCCACTTACACCGACTCAGGGCAATGACTGAGAGAAGGCAGCATGCTCCTTGCCTTGATGTTGCCGCGTCTGAATGACTCCTTGGATAGATGCTGAGACGACATTGTCTTCCACGAGACGAGGCTGCAGCAAGCCTGCTCGTCCCAAGTCTCACTAGGCATGTTCACGGACATGGCGTCCCGTCAGTGCCAAGATCTGTCGCCTCTTGGACCTAAATGTCCGTTCGACCTGTCAAGTCACCTTAGTCTGCCTTTTGGTCTGTTGGTATTCGTGCCCTTGTTATTTTATTCTACTGACAGCAATTTCGTACATGCGAGAGCAAAAGGACTGTGCCCAAATATTGTGAATAGTCAATGAAGTCAATTATTGCCACCACCATTGTGTTGCCAGTCACTCACAGCCCGAAACCACAGGAACGAAAACACCGAATTTTGTTGGAGCTCATGAACTCATTGAACGACTATGGCTAACGTTAAAGGAAACAGGTAATATCCGTTGTCTAAGATCGTACAGTCTACAGGGGTAGTAGGTATCTACAACTTGGAAATGATGGCGCCGGCAAACTCGCCAGTCTTGGCCTTGCCGCCCAAGTCGCCGGTGAGGGCCTTTCCTTCCGCGAGGGTATCAAAAGCGGCCTTCTCGATTCTGTCGGCGTACTCGCCGAGGCTCATGTGTCTCAGCATCATCATGGAGCTGAGGAGCAGAGCGGTGGGGTTGGCCAGGCCCTTGCCGGCAATGTCGGGGGCGGAGCCGTGGACGGCCTCGAAGATGGAGCACTCGTCACCAATGTTGCCAGAGGGGGTGAGGCCAAGACCGCCAATGAGACCGGCGCACATGTCGGAGAGAATGTCACCGTACAGGTTGGGCATGACGAGGACCTTGTCGTTGTAGGGGAGGGGGTCGGTGACCATCTTCAGGCAGGTGTTGTCGAGGAGCTCGGCGTCGAACTCGATCTCGGGGAAGTCCTTGGCGACGTCGCGGGCAGTCTTGAGGAAAAGACCGTCGGACATCTTCATAATAGTGGCCTTGTGGACGACGCGGACCTTCTTGCGGCCAATCTCCTGAGCCTGCTGGAAGGCGAAGCGGAGGACGCGCTCGGAAGCCTCGCGGGTGATGAGCTTGATGGACTGGACGACGCCGTCGACGACGACGTGCTCAATGCCAGAGTATTCACCCTCGGTGTTCTCACGGATGAGGACGGTGTCGACGTTGTCGTAGGGGGTCTTGTAGCCAGCGACGGATCGGCAGGGACGGAGGTTGGCGAACAGATTGAAGGTGCGGCGGAGAGTCAGGTTGAGGGAGACGTGGCCCTTGCCAATGGGGGTCTGCATGTTCAAGTTAGAATGAGAAGAGAGAGGCTCATGGTCGGTCGAAACATACGGCGAGGGGTCCCTTGAGGGCGACCTTGTTGCGCTTGATGCTCTCAATGGCGGCATCGGGGATGGCGGTCTTGCCGTCCTTGAGGATGGGGGTGACATCGACGGGCTCCCAGGTAACGGGGGCCTTGGCCGCGGCAAAGATGTCCTTGACAGCCTGGGAGATCTCGGGACCGATACCGTCACCCTCGATCAGGGAGACGGGGTAGTTGCCCTATACAAGATTGGTGATTAGTTTTGTTTTCAAGTCGTCTAGATGTCGCAGGTTTGAGCATCTCCAATTGAGTGATTTTGGGGCTGCGCAAAGGGCCGATTTGGGGCATTGCTGTTTGCTCGAGTACCCGTCCATCTGCACATGACGAGTAACATGTGCGTTCAAGAGCAGAGAATGCAGTTCATTTGTCGAGGTTCGGGTGCGCCAGCAAACAACAAAGCCGAGGCCTTTCCTTTGCGCGTAAAATTTTATGGGGCGGGTAGTAACGGAGGAGGGAAATAGCATACGTTGGAGTCCTTGACACCGTGGAACTTGGCGACACGCTCGCTCGAGTAGAATCTAGAGTTCTATGCAGCTGTTAGCAATTGGTTCTATTCGAATGGCTGGCCTGAAGTCGAGGCTCTGCCCGTGTTGCATCGTCGAATCGTCAACGGCGGGCGGGCGGGATCGCGGGACGGCAAGGAATAGGATGAATTGCGCGCACCTGGAACTGAGAGACGGCGGCGGCGCGGGGAGCGGCGCGCATGGCCTGCTGCCGGAGAGGCGCAGCGAAAGTACGGGCGGCCAGCATCGTGTCTAGAGTCCTTTGGTGGTGAAGGATACGTGGAGGCGGAGGAGGAGTGGTCGGGTGGGAAGGATTGGTCGTTTATCGGGAGACGGGAATTTTAAGGTCGGGAGAAGGAAGTGTTAGTAGCAGAGACGCCAGCGGCGGCCAGCCGGATTTGACAGGTGAGAAAATAAACCGCCGCTTTATCGCAGGGGTCTTGGCTGCACCGGCAGGCCGCAGGTGTAAGCGGCTTTGCTACAGAAAAAAAACTTGATTGACTTTCTATGCTCTCAACAGGTTCTACAATCTACCATCATTAGAAATTCTACAGAATTTAACATGTCGTTTTCTGGAAGATGAAAATGTGGTTATGCATACAGTCTCGTACATCTCCATAGTATCTTGTTTCCTGAGTTGTCTTTATCCGAGGTTGAGCATCCCGGAAGTGGGATCCCCAGTAAAGCGGCGTTGTGTCTTCACTGGCATAAGAAAACATCCCGCGGGATTATCGATGACCGACCTCCTAGCACCGACTGCTGCCGAAGGTTTAGCCACAAGTTGAGCCACGTATGCCACACCCTGTGGCTCAGCAGACCCCACCCTCCAACTTTTCTTCGGGTGGCAGGAACGGACATGGACTTTTCCGGCCGATTGAGGACCTGTGGACCAAACCGCCTGACCGAGCTCACCTCCCAAAGTCTGAGTGTGCTTCGGTGAGTGAGATGTCCTCGGTGTGTGCCACAGAATGCACCAAGTGGGCTGCACCGTTGTCAACAAGGTACCTTTGAGCAGTGAGGCAGCTGCCACTTTGTACAGAACACAAGCAGCTCACGTTTCCATTCCATCGTATTGCACCTCACTTGCTTGCACTCACGCAGTGCTCTTTGCAGCTCCGGCACCCCGGTTGCCTTTGTGTGGCATTGTCAACCATTCATTTTTGGCCAATGGAAGTATTCATCTTGTACCTTTGAAACGGCTACACGTACTGCAAGCAACAAGCTCCCTCGCCGACCCCCCCCAGCCGTTCCTCGGCCGGCTGGAATAACGATTCCTTTCCCCCTGTGCGAGCCACCACCACGATTCGAGATACCGATACCCCATAATGTCGTCAGATTACGAGAGAACTATTCTGGATTTTTACCAGCTTCCAAACCCATACCCCGACGAATGGCCTGCCGAGAAGAACCAGAGCGATGCATCCGACGATGAGGACGAGGCCAAGGACGAGAAGAAGGCGAAGCTGCAGCGCCGGAAATCGCGATACCAGGCGCTCGAGAGGGCCGTCAGCGACCGGCGCAGCATAATCCCCGGAGCTCAGTCAGATAAAGGAGGTGTCGCCAACATTGTCCAGCGTGACGAGCCCGATCCCTTGGGCACCACCGACAGCGTCGTCAGGACCCTCCGCCAGCTGGGAGTTCCCATCCAGGACGATCCACGCTTGCGTATGTGGGCTCGATACTGCAATGATGACCAGCAAGACTGACATGCGCCCAGGCAATCGATTCCTCCTGTCCTCGACGACCTTCTCTCCCGCCTTGTTTCTCTCGCAAATGCACGCGACTGCCGACACCCAAAGCTTGTTGACCGGCCTGGACATGTTGTCCCAGTCAATCGATCAAAAGTCCGCATCACTTAAGGTTCTGGTGGAGACCAACTTTGAGCGCTTCGTCAAGGCCAAGGCTACCATTGATAATGTGTACAAGGAGATGAAATATCGCGGCGCCGAGCCGCCTCCGCCGCCAACAACGGGCCGTGCTCGAGCTCACTCCCGCCACGCTAGTCGCAGCAGCTTCCGAGGCAGCAACGGCGGTATGAACCTCGCCGCGTCACTCGGATCCCCCACCTCGGACGCTCGTAAGAAGAACGCCCTGGTCAAGGAAAGCGAGTACGGAGTCTCCGGGATCAAGGCGCCTCTGCTGGATGTCTCTGCCAAGGCGGAAGATGTGTGGGGTCCGGCGCTGGGAGGACGTGAGAAGGAGGAGAATCTCAAGGTTGTGTCGGCGAACCTGGATCAGTTCAAGGAGTACGTCGAACTAAGCTCTGCCATTGCCGAGAGCATCAAACGAAGAGACTACGAGAGCCTTGTGGAAGAGTACAACAAGGCGCGCAAGTTCTCAGATGATGCAAGAGCACTGGCCGCAAATGCCGCTGCGGGCTCTTCAAGCCAAACCGATATCTATCAGATTGTGTTGGCGGCACGCATATGGCACGATGTGGACGAGCAGATCCAGGCCTTCAAGCGGGACGTGTGGCGGAAGCTCGTCACGCTCCACGGCGTCTCCAAGGCCGACAACCTGGGCCAGCAAGACCAGCACATGGAGTTGATTAGTCTGCTTCTCGAGCTGGGCGTCGACGACAATCCCATTTGGGTCTGGCTGCTTAGTCGGTACGACCACCTCAAGGGCAAGATTCAGTCGACGTCAGACCGCTCCAAGGTCGAGGTGGAGGTGCTCCGACGACGCCTGGCCAACGCCGACAAGCCTGGAGCACACGCGGTTGCATCGCATCTGCGGTCTCTGGGGCGTGCAGCCGTGGAGAACAAGATAGCCTCGGCCGACTCCGCCGATGTTATAGAGCTGTGGGAAAAGATGCTGGCGTTCCTGTCTAGTATCCTGTCCGCACAAGGCATCCTGGGAGAGGTGTTGGACTTTTGGCAGACGGTTCAAGGCTTCCTGGATGGCAAGATCCAGCGCACGCTGCCTTTAGGGTACAATGGAGAATCGCAAGTCCATCACCAGCTACCAGAGGAGCGTGCTGGAGATTTGCAAAAGGGCACGTTGGAGCTGGTCGACCTGATTCGCGAAACAGTCTTTGCCTTTTTCGCGGGCCCGCCACCCGAAGATATCTCGTTGCTCTTCTCGCCCCTCCCCTTGTCGCCCAAGAGCCCGCCTTCTGCAGGAGCCGGAAACCTCACACCCACCGGGTTCCTGGATCCTCGGCTTAACCTCGACCCTAATAACATTCCTCCTCCTTCGCCCAAGCGCGGTGAGACGTGGGAGAAGCTGGCCTTTTGGCCTCCGTGGTCGAACTCCGTCAGTGGTGTCCACTACCTTTCCAAGATGCTCGCCCTGGTGGGCTCGGGCGCGTCCGACTTGGCGAGCATCGGCCCCGTCGCGAATGGACTGGACCCTGGCGTCTTGGATAGGCTCAAGACGCTTGTCAACATTTCCAGAGAACGATGCGTCACCGCTCTTTGCGCAGCATGGAACAAGGACGCCGAGAACATCAAGTTCGTCGAGGACTGGTACCGATCACCGGAACTAGGCGACCTTACCCGCATGCCCTCGAGCTTTTCCGCGTTTGAAGGCGCGTTGCTCACGGGCATGCAGAAGATTTTGTACATATCCGAAGCCATGTCGAAGCCTGGTGCGGGGGATATTGTCCTCCCACCGCCTAGTAAACTCTTGCAGATGGTCAGAAGCCAGTACGTCACGACGCTCTATAAGGCGTTGAGCGGCATGGTGGAGAACGCCGAGCGATCTGTCAAGAAGGCCGACGACGATTGGACAACGGATATGGACGGCACCATTGTCGCCTCCGCCGCGCCCGCTCCCAGCGGCGGAAGAGCGACACTCGACGCGGGAGACAGGGTGAGTTTGATTTGTGTGTGGTTTTGGAAGAACTATCTACTGACATTTGGTATAGAACGTCCGTATGCTCCTCACTCTCAGCAATTTGCAGTCACTCCGAGCCAAGGTCGTGCCGAGCCTCAACTCGCAGTTTGAGAATGCCTTCTCCGTCAAACTTAGTGATGAATCCAAAACGATCAAGGATGTTCTGGGCCAGATTGACGCTAGGCTCTTTCAATCATACACCCGCCCATCCATTGAAGAGCTGCGCAACATTGTTAGAGCCGGGGTTGCCTCGCCCGACTGGGTCCCCGAGGTGGGCCAGAAACCGCGGGAAGCGAGACCCTACGTCTACGAAGCTCTGCTCAGTCTCGTGCTGGTCCACACCCAAGTCTCGACCACGGCGCCCACGCTCACCTCGCAGGTGCTCTCGTATCTCCTCGAGCAGACCAGCCGTGAGCTCCTCGAGGCGTTCCGCACGCGACAGAGATACACCCTCGAGGCGCTGATGCAGGCCACCCTGGACGTCGAGTTCGTCGCCCAGACGCTCAGCCAGTACACCACCGACCGCGCCTCGGCGCTCCAGAGCGAGATTTACCAGGAGCTCGACGGGCGCACCGATAACGACGCGCGCGCCCGCCTGCAGAGCGAGCTTCCCGAGATGAGAAGCGTGTTGAAGCGGCTGCGCGAGGCGAGCAAGAACGAGTTTACGTGCTTCAGGAAGATCAAGCGGCCCGGCATCGGACCCTCGAGGACGGGCACCGGCGATTCTGCGGCGAGCATCAAGGGCTAGTGGCCCCCTCCTCAGTGCAGAATGAGGAAGTCGGGTATCTGGGCCTATGAATAGGTTGTAGGGGATGAATTGGTTATGAGAGCCTTTGGGTTGGGAGGTATGGAAGGTTCTGGGGTGCGACTCATGTCGTGGACCTACATTGCGTTCGGGGGAAAGAATCGCGCCTGCCAGATTGGGGCGGGCGCATGAGTGATGAAATGTTTAATGTCGGATAGCCCATGTTTTGCAATAAACAAACAAGTTCAAGGTACACGGTCAGGATGCAGTGAGGTGTGAGGTTGAGGGCAGAAACTGTGATTTTGACTTAAAAAGGGGGGTATCTACCTTATCTACCGTGACGAATTCTAAGTGAACTTTTGATGTGTCTTTCTTGACAGCCCCATCTATCTAAAGAGAAGAAGCCAACTGTAAAAGCCTTTTTTTTTTGCTTTTCCGTGTTCCCCTGGTTCCCAAAGTGCCAAATGTCTTTCCGCCAATTCAAGTCCTGTGGTTTCCTTTTTCGGTTCCTTTGTATGGGTTTTGCTTTTTAGAGTGTCTCCAACGGAGATGGTGGTGTTTGTGGTGGTAGTAGTCGTACAATCATTAAGGGTGCTTTTTTTGTGTTTCCTTGAAAAGATATGCTTTTTTTCCTTTCGTTTCAGTCATTCATCGTGAATTTGCGT